TGTGTCACAGTGATATAGTGTGTCACAGTGACAGTGTGTCATTGTGTGTGTCACAGTGTTACTGTGTGTGTGTCACAGTGATATAGTGTGTCACAGCGACAGTGTGTCATTGTGTGTGTCAGTGTGTCACTGTGTGTCACAGTGATATAGTGTGTCACAGTGACAGTGTGTCATTGTGTGTGTCACAGTGATATAGTGTGTCACAGTGACAGTGTGTCATTGTGTGTGTCAGTGTGTCACTGTGTGTGTGTCACAGTGATATAGTGTGTCACAGTGACAGTGTGTCATTGTGTGTGTCAGTGTGTCACGGTGTGTGTCACAGTGATATAGTGTGTCACAGTGACAATGTGTCATTGTGTGTCAGTGTGTCACGGTGTGTGTCACAGTGATATAGTGTGTCACAGTGACAATGTGTCATTGTGTGTGTCAGTGTGTCACGGTGTGTCACAGTGATATAGTGTGTCACAGTGACAGTGTGTCATTGTGTGTGTCACGGTGTGTGTGTCACAGGGATATAGTGTGTCACAGTGACAGTGTGTCATTGTGTGTGTCAGTGTGTCACGGTGTGTCACAGTGATATAGTGTGTCACAGTGACAGTGTGTCATTGTGTGTGTCAGTGTGTCACTGTGTGTCACAGTGATATAGTGTGTCACAGTGACAGTGTGTCATTGTGTGTGTCAGTGTGTCACGGTGTGTCACAGTGATATAGTGTGTCACAGTGACAGTGTGTCATTGTGTGTGTCAGTGTGTCACTGTGTGTCACAGTGATATAGTGTGTCACAGTGACAGTGTGTCATTGTGTGGGTCAGTGTGTCACGGTATGTGTCACAGTGATATAGTGTGTCACAGTGACAGTGTGTCATTGTGTGTGTCAGTGTGTCACGGTGTGTGTCACAGTGATATAGTGTGTCATAGTGACAGTGTGTCATTGTGTGTGTCAGTGTGTCACCGTGTGTGTCACAGTGATATAGTGTGTCACAGTGACAGTGTGTCATTGTGTGTGTCAGTGTGTCACGGTATGTGTCACAGTGATATAGTGTGTCACAGTGACAGTGTGTTATTGTGTGTGTCAGTTTGTCATGGTGTGTGTCACAGTGATATAGTGTGTCATAGTGACAGTGTGTCATTGTGTGTGTCAGTGTGTCATAGTGTGTGTCACAGTGATATAGTGTGTCACAGTGACAATGTGTCATTGTGTGTTTCAGTGTGTCACGGTGTGTGTCACAGTGATATAGTGTGTCACAGTGACAATGTGTCATTGTGTGTGTCAGTGTGTCACGGTGTGTCACAGTGATATAGTGTGTCACAGTGACAGTGGCATTGTGTGTGTCAGTGTGTCACGGTGTGTGTCACAATGATATAGTGTGTCACAGTGACAGTGTGTCATTATGTGTGTCAGTGTGTCACGGTGTGTGTCACAGTGATATAGTGTGTCACAGTGACAGTGGTATTGTGTGTGTCAGTGTGTCACTGTGTGTGTCACAGCGATATAGTGTGTCACAGAGACAGTGTGTCATTGTGTGTGTCAGTGTGTCACGGTGTGTGTCACAGTGATATAGTGTGTCACAGTGACAGTGTGTCATTGTGTGTGTCAGTGTGTCACGGCGTGTGTCACAGTGATATAGTGTGTCACAGTGACAGTGTGTCATTGTGTGTGTCAGTGTGTCACGGTGTGTCACAGTGATATAGTGTGTCACAGTGACAGTGTGTCATTGTGTGTGTCAGTGTGTCACGGCGTGTGTCACAGTGATATAGTGTGTCACAGTGACTGTGTGTCATTGTGTGTGTCAGTGTGTCACGGTGTGTGTCACAGTGATATAGTGTGTCATAGTGACAGTGTGTCATTGTGTGTGTCAGTGTGTCACGGTGTGTGTCACAGTGATATAGTGTGTCACAGTGACAATGTGTCATTGTGTGTTTCAGTGTGTCACGGTGTGTGTCACAGTGATATAGTGTGTCACAGTGACAATGTGTCATTGTGTGTGTCAGTGTATCACGGTGTGTCACAGTGATATAATGTGTCACAGTGACAGTGTGTCATTGTGTGTGTCACAGTGATATAGTGTGTCACAGTGACAGTGTGTCATTGTGTGTGTCAGTGTGTCACGGTGTGTGTCACAGTGATATAGTGTGTCACAGTGACAGTGGTATTGTGTGTGTCAGTGTGTCACTGTGTGTGTGTGTGTCACACACACACAGTGACACACACAGTAACAGTGTGTCATTGTGTGTGTCAGTGTGTCACGGTGTGTGTGTCACAGGGATATAGTGTGTCACAGTGACAGTGTGTCATTGTGTGTGTCAGTGTGTCACGGTGTGTGTCACAGTGATATAATGTGTCACAGTGACAGTGTGTCATTGTGTGTGTCAGTGTGTCACGGTGTGTGTCACAGTGATAAAGTGTGGCACAGTGACTGTGTGTCATTGTGTGTGTCAGTGTGTCACGGTGTGTGTCACAGTGATATAGTGTGTCACAGTGACAGTGTGTCATTGTGTGTCAGTGTGTCACGGTGTGTGTCACAGTGATATAGTGTGTCACAGTGACAGTGTGTTATTGTGTGTGTCAGTGTGTCACTGTGTGTGTCACAGTGATATAGTGTGTCACAGTGACAGTGTATCATTGTGTGTGTCAGTGTGTCACTGTGTGTCACAGTGATATAGTGTGTCACAGTGACAGTGTGTCATTGTGTGTGTCAGTGTGTCACGGTGTGTGTCACAGTGATATAGTGTGTCACAGTGACAGTGTGTCATTGTGTGTGCCAGTGTGTCACGGTGTGTGTCACAGTGATATAGTGTGTCACAGTGACAGTGTCATTGTGTGTGTCAGTGTGTCATGGTGTTTGTGTCATAGTGATATAGTGTGTCACAGTGACAGTGTGTCATTGTGTGTGTCAGTGTGTCACGGTGTGTGTCACAGTGATATAGTGTGTCATAGTGACAGTGTGTCATTGTGTGTGTCAGGGTGTCACGGTGTGTGTCACAGTGATATAGTGTGTCACAGTGACAATGTGTCATTGTGTGTGTCACAGTGATATAGTGTGTCACAGTGACAGTGTGTCATTGTGTGTGTCAGTGTGTCACGGTGTGTGTCACAGTGATATAGTGTGTCACAGTGACAGTGGTATTGTGTGTGTCAGTGTGTCACTGTGTGTGTGTGTCATACACACACAGTGACACACACAGTGACAGTGTGTCATTGTGTGTGTCAGTGTGTCACGGTGTGTGTCACAGTGATATAGTGTGTCACAGCGACAGTGTGTCATTGTGTGTGTCATTGTGTCACGGTGTGTGTCACAGTGATATAGTGTGTTATAGTGACAGTGTGTCATTGTGTGTGTCAGTGTGTCATAGTGTGTGTCACAGTGATATAGTGTGTCACAGTGACAATGTGTCATTGTGTGTGTCAGTGTGTCACTGTGTGTGTGTGTGTCACACACACAGTGACACACACAGTGACAGTGTGTTATTGTGTGTGTCAGTGTGTCACGGTGTGTGTCACAATGATATAGTGTGTCACAGTGACAGTGTGTCATTGTGTGTGTCAGTGTGTCACGGCGTGTGTCACAGTGATATAGTGTGTCACAGTGACAGTGTGTCATTGTGTGTGTCACAATGTCACTGTCTGTGTCACAGTGATATAGTGTGTCACAGAGACAGTGTGTCATTGTGTGTGTCAGTGTGTCATGGTGTGTGTCACAGTGATATAGTGTGTCACAGTGACTGTCTGTCATTGTGTATGTTAATGTGTCACTGTGTGTGTCACAGTGATATAGTGTGTCAGAGTGACAGTGTGTCATTGTGTGTGTCAGTGTGTCAGTGTGTGTCACAGTGATATAGTGTGTCACAGTGACAGTGTGTCATTGTGTGTGTCACAGTGATATAGTGTGTCACAGTGCCAGTGTGTCATTGTGTGTGTCAGTGTGTCACGGTGTGTGTTACAGTGATATGTGTCACAGTGACAGTGTGTCATTGTGTGTGTCAGTGTGTCACTGTGTGTGTCACAGTCATATAGTGTGTCACAGTGACAGTGTCATTGTGTGTGTCAGTGTCATTGTGTGCACACACACACATACATGAGCACGGTTGTCTACGTACGGTGCGAAATACGTTCAAGATACATTCATACATTTACAGATACATACGGAATCAGGCACACATTGACACATCTTAACACACACACAGGCACACACACGTATGTACACAGGCACGTATCACATACACAATGACACGTTCATACACACCGACACAAATGTCATCATACACCCACACGTATACAGACATGTGTACACATCTCACATGCATACACAGAGACAAAGATCCCCCGTATAGCCTCAACAGACTGTCGGGGCAAGTGCTGTTAGCGAGCACCTATAAAGGCCAGCACGGCACACGAGGGGGTGGGTGGCCAGCAACACGCCCGGCCGCCTTTGTCTCCCCAGTGGCGATGTTTACACACCGCACCAGGTACTCATTTGAGGCCGAGTCGACCCAGGGGAGGCCCAGAACCGGTTCAGATAATCGTCACCGGTATTGCCCGTGAGCGGGAATCGAACCCGGATCGCCGAGTTCGTAGCGCAGCGCGCTAACCGCTGCACCACCGCTCATCAAAATCTATAGACTGTACACACACAGGTACGTACGTTATCGCGTACACATTGACACATCTTAGCACGCGCAACGCACACATTAACACACATCTAGCACACACGCACACGTATTACATGCACAATGACACATCTTCATACACACACACACCGACACAAATATCCATCACACACACACGCACACATAAAGACACGTGTGCACGTCTCACAAAGACAAACATCCCCCACCCCCCGTATAGCCTCAACAGACTGTTGGGGCAAGTGCCCTTAGCGAGTAGCACCAATGAAGGCCGGCACGGCGCACGAGGGGGGGGGGGAGAAGGAGGGGGGGGGGGAGGTTTGACCAGCACCACGCCCGGCCGCCTTTGTCTCCCCTAACAGAGAGACTCACTCACCTGCGTTGGCAGCGATGAGACCCAACGCCAAGTCGAGCACGGTCACTGCCAGCCATCCTCGGCCCTTCATCTCCACGGCCACACTGTGGCTTGCCAAAAGCCTCCTGGTGTGTGGGGGGGGGGGAGGGCGGGATGGCCTCCAAAAAAAAGCAGCCTCACCCCAAAGCCTCCTCCATGTGAGAGCCCCCCTTTTCTTCCCGGTTCGATCCCGATATCGGTGGTCGGGGGGAGGGGAGGCTCAGATCAGCGAGAGGTAACGGAGGTCGCACATCGCTTGACCGAATTGCCTCCCAAGAGCGATTATATATTGCACGTGTACGTGCTCTACGTGCCAGTGGAACGTGGTAGTAACCAATTACGCGATTTGATACGCAAGCACGTGCCAGTACAGCGTAGAGGCTACATCTAATTATCTCAACGTATTAATTGCGAGGTATATATATGCCTCGTAGCGTTGCAGCACGGCTGGTTTAATTCCACAACGGATATGTACGTCTCTCCGAACTAATTCGCCAATTATTTCCCAATATCTCACCACGCTGAATATGCATATGGGTAAGCGAATACAAATACGGAGATATATGTAGAAGAAAACAATATTAGCCCTGCGCAAAAAAAAATCTGCTGTCGAAAATAAAAAAAAAATACCTATAACGTCTTAGAAGCTTGCCTGGGAACGAATTGAATAGCCAAACTGCAAATATTCGTGCCTGTCGAAGCCTTGAAGGGTTATCATCGTGGCGGTATCTGCCGAGTGGGTTGAGTCTGAACGGAGCTACCGACTCACAGTGATCTACGCGTACAGCACACACACACACAGCTCGCACAAAGACAAAGAGCCCCCTCCCCGCCAGATAGCCTTCACCACGCTGTTGGGGCAAGTGCTGCGAGCGAATCGCCGTGCCGAATGAAGGCCCGGCGGAGGCCGCGCGAACGATGGTGTCGGGGGGGGGGGGGGGGTGGTGGTGGCCAGCACCACGCCCGGCCGCCTTTGTCCCCCCCCCAGTGGCGATGTTTGGGGAGGCTGAGTCGACCTATGCGAGACGACACGGACACACACACACACAACACACACAACACCCCCACGTGTGTGTGTGTGGTGTGACGTGCGCTCAATGAACGCCGTGCCATTGGTGTTGCCCGCAGAGCGCTGCGAGCAACGGGGGCAAACGCTGCGATGTCGCTCCTCGCCACTTGGTGTCACACGTGCTCCCCAACGTCGCCATGCTGGTCTCCCTGACCGTGCGTGCGGTCGGCCACGGAATCAGAAACATGTATTTGCACTCGAGGAATCCGATGAGCTGTGAAGCTCTTTTTGATAGACGTGCCAGTAATGAGGGGGAGAGGGAGGGGGGGGGTTATGAACGTTGCGACAACTGAGACGTAGTCGGATGTGCAAAGACAAGGACGTGCAAACAAAGTACTAATAGTTCTTTCGGTAAAGTCACGTAGAATGAGAATAAAATAATAAATTGATAAAATAAAATAACACAATAATATTCTCACGACGTTTCGGCCACAACACAAGCGGCCTTCATCAGGTGAAGGGACGAGACTGTCTGGAGGACAGCCGCTTGTGTTGTGGCCGAAACGTCGTGATTTTTGTTATTTTATTTTTTACCTACGTGACTTTACCCAATAGAACCAAAGAGTATGGATCCTAGCAGTCACGAAAGCTTTAAATCTAGAATCGGTGTTTAAGGTTAGCGATTTGTCGTATTATCTGGCTGTATAGCCAATAAAAAAAATGCAATTACTTTACTATGCAAGTTAAAAATGTATGTGATTTAATATGTACGTGTTTTTTTTATATTTAGGACCCCTTTGTAACATAATGCTACAGGCCCCGCACTAGCTTCATCCGGCACTGGTCCGAGTTCGACTTGTATGTGCGTTACAATCCGTGTGTGTGTGTATGTGTGGGTGACCAGATTTGTATACCTTTAAAGGGGTGCGTCGTATTTTCCGGAGCGTCTTATACTCTGGAGAATAGGGTATCGGACAGACACACACCACCCACCCGAATGCATGGCTGGGTCATGTAGCCTGCATGCCCAGCCACCGCGTGCCCAATAAGCTTCTGTTTGGCTGGATAGAAGGGCTGGAGACGAGATGGACTGATGCGTTACGGGAGAATATGGAGCTGAGTGGACTTGCCGATGACCGGTACCAGCGGTGTTAAGATCGGCCTCTGTGGAGGAGGCTCGTGAAGGACGCTGCTGCTGGGCAGTTGGAGGCAGTCGCCCTCCAACAACAACGGAGGGCAGAGGAGCGACGCTCAGAACAACGAGCGGAGCGCCGGGTGGCTAAAGCACAGCAGGTTGGCACAGTAGGGGGCACAGGTGGTGCATCAGCCAGTCATCTCAGTCATCTCAGTCAGTCGACCCGTGGCACCTGGGTCTGCCCCGTGACCTCCTACCAGCGGGCGTTCGACACTTCACGTGGCCTCAGGGTGCACATAGCCTGGCACAAGCGTCGTGGTGACGTCACCGCCACTTAGTGGCGAATGGCGGTTGTTGTTGTTGTGTGTATGGTGTGTGTGCATAGTGTGTGTGTGTGTGTGCATGGTGTGTGTGCATGGTGTGTGTGTGTGTGCAGTATGTGTGTGCATAGTGTGTGTGTGTGCGCATGGTGTGTGCCTGCATGGTGTGTATGTGTGTGCATAGTGTGTGTGCAGTATGTGTGTGTGCATTATGTGTGTGTGCATGGTGTGTGTGTGTGCAGTATGTGTGTATATGGTGTGTGTGTGCATGGTGTGTGTGTGCATAGTGTGTGTGTCCATTATGTGTGTGCATGGTCTGTGTGTGTGCAGTATTTGTGTACATGGTGTGTGTATGTGTGTGTGCATGGTGTGTGTGTGTGCATAGTGTGTGTGCATGGTGTGTGTGTGTGCAGTATGGGTGTATATGGTGTGTGTGTGCATGGTGTGTGTGTGCATAGTGTGTGTGCAGTATGTGTGTGTGTGCATGGTGTGTGTGTGCATGGTGTGTGTGTATGAATAGTGTGTATGTGTGCATAGTGTGTATGTGTGCATGGTGTGTGTGCTTGGTGTGTGTGTGCAGTATGTGTGTGCATAGTGTGTGTGTGTATGGTGTGTGTGTGCATCGTGTGTGTGTGTGCAGTATGTGTGTGTGTGCATGGTGTGTGAGTGCATGGTGTGTGTGTGCATAGTGTGTGTGCATGGTGTGTGAGTGCATGGTGTGTGTGTGCATAGTGTGTGTGTGCATGGTGTGTGAGTGCATGGTGTGTGTGTGCATGGTATGTGTGTGCATGGTGTCTGTGTGTGCATGGTGTGTGTGTGTGCATGGTGTGTGTGTGTGTGCATGGTGTGTGTGTGTGCATGGTGTGTGTGTGCATGGTGTGCGTGCATAGAGTGTGTGCATGGTGTGTGTGTGTGTGCATGGTATGTGTGTGCATGGTGTGTGTGTGCATGGTGTGCGTGCATAGAGTGTGTATGTGTGCATGGTGTGTGTGTGTGCATGGTGTGTGTGTGTGTGCATTGTGTGCGTGCATAGTGTGTGTATGTGTGCATGATGTGTGTGTGTGCATGGTGTGTGTGCATGGTGTGTGTGTGTGCATGGTGTGTGTGCATAGTGTGTGTGTGTGCATGGTGTATGTGTGACTGGTGTGTGTGTGTGCATGGTGTGTGTGCATGGTGTGCGTGCATAGTGTGTGTGTGCATGGTGTGTGTGCATTGTGTGTGTGCATGGTGTGCGTGCATAGTGTGTGTATGTGTGCATGGTGTGTGTATGTGTGCATGGTGTGTGTGTGTGTGCATGGTGTGTGTATTTGTACATGGTGTGTGTGCATTGTGTGTGTGTGCATGGTGTGTGTGTGTGCATGGTGTGTGTGTGCATGGTGTGTGTGTGTACATGGTGTGTGTATGTGTGCATGGTGTGTGTATGTGTGCATGGTGTGTGTGTGTGTGCATGGTGTGTGTGTGCATGGTGTGTGTGTATGTGCATGGTGTGTGTGTGCATGGTGTGTGTATGTGTGCATGGTGTGTGTGTGTGTGTGCATGGTGTGCGTGTGTCCATGGTGTGTGTATATTGGGAGCGGTAATGTCGCGGTTTGAGCGCCGCGCTCACGGCCAACACCGGTGACGATTATCTGAACCGGTCCTCATCCTCCCCTAGGTCGAGTACCTGGTGCGGTGTGTAACACTGGGGAGACAAAGGTGGCCCGGAGTGGTTCTGGCCACCTACCTCATTGTGTGACATGCCGGCCTTCATAGGTGCTCGCTAACAGCGCTTTCCCCAAGAGTCTGTTAAAGCTATACGGGGGATCTTTGTCTTTGGAGTGTGGGTGAGTGCGCAGACGATTACTATAGTACTATACTGCCTTCAACGTTTATGAACGAATGGGTGTTTAAGGTTAGCGATTTGACGTATTATCTGGCTGTATAGCAAAATGAAAAAAATACTTTACTATGCAAGTAAAAATAATGTGCGTGTTTTAATATGTACGTGTGTTTTTTGTTTGTTATTTTAGAGCCCCTTTTTAATATATGCTACAGGCCCCCCGCACTAGCTTCGTCCGGCACTGGTGGAGAGTATCGCGTAACGCGGCGGTCTTCATTGCACTGCCGGAAGGCCCCCAGGTGGCCTTCAGTGCGGCCTTCAGGTGGCCTTTAGTGCGGCCTCCAGGTGGCCTATAGTGCGGCCTCCAGGTGGCCTATAGTGCGGCCTCCAGGTGGCCTTCAGTGCGGCCTTCAGGTGGCCTTCAGTGCGGCCTTCAGGTGGCCTATAGTGCGGCCTCCAAGTGGCCTATAGTGCGGCCTCCAGGTGGCCTATAGTGCGGCCTTCAGGTGGCCTATAGTGCGGCCTCCAGGTGGCCTATAGTGCGGCCTCCAGGTGGCCTATAGTGCGGCCTCCAGGTGCCCTTTAGTGCGGCCTCCAGGTGGCCTATAGTGCGGCCTCCAGGTGGCCTTTAGTGCGGCCTCCAGGTGGCCTATAGTGCGGCCTCCAGGTGGCCTATAGTGCGGCCTCCAGATGGCCTATAGTGCGGCCTCCAGGTGGCCTTTAGTGCGGCCTCCAGGTGGCCTATAGTGCGGCCTCCAGGTGGCCTATAGTGCGGCCTCCAGGTGGCCTTTAGTGCGGCCTCCAGGTGGCCTATAGTGCGGCCTCCAGGTGGCCTATAGTGCGGCCCCCAGGTGGCCTTCAGTGTGGCCTCCAGGTGGCCTTTAGTGCGCCCTCCAGGTGGCCTTTGGTGCGGCCTCCAGGTGGCCTTCAGTGCGGCCTCCAGGTGGCCTATAGTGCGGCCTCCAGGTGGCCTTCAGTGCGGCCTTCAGGTGGCCTTTAGTGCGGCCTCCAGGTGGCCTTTAGTGCGGCCTCCAGGTGGCCTTTAGTGCGGCCTCCAGGTGGCCTTTAGGTGCGGCCTCCAGGTGGCCTTCAGTGCGGCCTCCAGGTGGCCTTTAGTGCGGCCTCCAGGTGGCCTATAGTGCGGCCTCCAGGTGGCCTATAGTGCGGCCTCCAGATGGCCTATAGTGCGGCCTCCAGGTGCCTTTAGTGCGGCCTCCAGGTGGCCTATAGTGCGGCCTCCAGGTGGCCTTTAGTGCGGCCTCCAGGTGGCCTATAGTGCGGCCTCCAGGTGGCCTATAGTGCGGCCTCCAGATGGCCTATAGTGCGGCCTCCAGGTGGCCTTTAGTGCGGCCTCCAGGTGGCCTATAGTGCGGCCTCCAGGTGGCCTATAGTGCGGCCTCCAGGTGGCCTTTAGTGCGGCCTCCAGGTGGCCTATAGTGCGGCCACCAGGTGGCCTATAGTGCGGCCCCCAGGTGGCCTTCAGTGCGGCCTCCAGGTGGCCTTTAGTGCGGCCTCCAGGTGGCCTTTGGTGCGGCCTCCAGGTGGCCTTCAGTGCGGCCTCCAGGTGGCCTATAGTGCGGCCTCCAGGTGGCCTTCAGTGCGGCCTCCAGGTGGCCTATAGTGCGGCCTCCAGGTGGCCTATAGTGCGGCCTCCAGATGGCCTATAGTGCGGCCTCCAGGTGGCCTATAGTGCGGCCTCCAGCTGGCCTATAGTGCGGCCTCCAGGTGGCCTATAGTGCGGCCTCCAGGTGGCCTTTGGTGCGGCCTCCAGGTGGCCTATAGTGCGGCCTCCAGGTGGCCTTCAGTGCGGCCTCCAGGTGGCCTATAGTGCGGCCTCCAGGTGGCCTATAGTGCGGCCTCCAGGTGGCCTTTAGTGCGGCCTCCAGATGGCCTTTAGTGCGGCCTCCAGGTGGCCTTTAGTGCGGCCTCCAGGTGGCCTTTAGTGCGGCCTCCAGGTGGCCTATAGTGCGGCCTCCAGGTGGCCTTTAGTGCGGCCTCCAGGTGGCCTTTAGTGCGGCCTCCAGATGACCTTTAGTGCGGCCTCCAGGTGGCCTATAGAGCGGCCTCCAGATGGCCTTTAGTGCGGCCTCCAGGTGGCCTATAGTGCGGCCTCCAGATGGCCTTTAGTGCGGCCTCCAGGTGGCCTATAGTGCGGCCTCCAGGTGGCCTTTGGTGCGACCTCCAGGTGGCCTTCAGTGCGGCCTCCAGATGGCCTATAGTGCGGCCTCCAGGTGGCCTTCAGTGCGGCCTCCAGGTGGCCTATAGTGCGGCCTCCAGGTGGCCTATAGTGCGGCCTCCAGGTGGCCTTTAGTGCGGCCTCCAGGTGGCCTATAGTGCGGCCTCCAGGTGGCCTTTAGTGCGGCCTTCAGGTGGCCTATAGTGCGGCCTCCAAGTGGCCTATAGTGCGGCCTCCGACAGTCACACAAACGGGAAACCCACCCCCAATGGTGGTGCCGAATCGGGCATAGTGGCCGCTCACTGGAAATGAGTGAAGAGCACTGGGGGCAGGCCCGGTAGTGATGGACGTGAACCAAGGCCATAGCCATGGAGTCAACATTGGGGGGGAACAAATCTTCCAGGGGGTCTGGGGGGTCGTCGTCCCCCCCCCCCCCTCCCCCCAGAAAAAAAATCTAAATTTGAAAACTAATTTCCTGCCTAAAATATTTCAAAAATTCACTAACACGTGATTGACTTTTTATTTATTTTTTTACAATAATGTCTAATAGTGTATTGTATTACATTGCTCTGTTTTTTTCTTTTTGACCTTTTCTTATTTCATTGTATGTAATGGCAGAGATTAGGAATTAATAAAGTGCAACCATAATCACAATCATATAAACAGAAATCTACTTCATAGCAATATATTGGGGGGGACATTTTGAGCATATTTGAATATGGGGGGGGGGGGTGTCCCCCCCACCCCCCAATTATATTATAATTACGGCCTTGACGTGTACCACATTTCTCTTACCCGTGTCTTGTAGCGGTCAGCCTCGAGCCATTGCATTCGTCTCAAGCTAAACTCGGACCCACGTCTCACAGAGGAGGTGCCCGTGCTCATACAGCAAACAGCGGCGAGGCAAGCGTTGTCTTTCAGGCAAGCCGGATTGCTGATGAGACGCTAAATGTCGAAATAGGTGCCGAGTTTGATTTGCGTTGGATCAATACTGCCGATGAAGATGCACTCATAGAAGGCCATGCCGCTGATGAGATGTATACAATAAACGTTTGTTTTATTGTATGCATCTCGTATGTGTAATTATATTGTGGAGAGACACGCACGTGCGAAGGAGATGAATTACTTCTGATTTAAAGCTTTCGTGACTGCAGGGATTCATATTCTTGGTTCTTTCGGTAAAGTCACGAAGAAGGGAAACAAAAAAATATTTTATAAAAAAAAACGATTTTATTGTTTCCCTTCTACGTGACTTTACCGAAAGAACCAAGAATATGAATTACTTCCTTATTTTGTTACTTGTGACACAGCAGTTGCGGTTGGGCATTTCTCCACAAGAGGGCGACCCACACTAACCCTGGACTCTCACCCAGAGATCCATACACAGAGACCCACAGACTCACACAGAGACACACAGACTCACACAGTGACACTCACACATGAGACCCACGGACCCACACAGTGACTCACACTCACACAGAGACCCACAGACTCACACAGTGACTCACACTCACACAGAGACCCACAGGCTCACACAGAGACCCACAGACTCACACAGTGACTCACACTCACACATGAGACCCACGGACCCACACAGTGACTCACACTCACACAGAGACCCACAGACTCACACAGTGACTCACACTCACACAGAGACCCACAGACTCACACAGTGACTCACTCTCACACAGAGTACCACAGACTCACACAGAGACCCACAAACTCACACAGTGACTCACACTCACACAGAGACCCACAGACTCACACAGTGACTCACACTCACACAGAGACCCACAGACTCACACAGTGACTCACACTCACACAGAGACCCACAGACTCACACAGAGACCCACAGACTCACACAGTGACTCACACTCACACAGAGACCCACAGACTCACACAGAGACCCACAGACTCACACAGTGACTCATACTCACACAGAGACCCACGGACTCACACAGTGACTCACACTCACACAGAGACCCACAGACTCACACAGAGACCCACAGACTCACACAGTGACTCACACTCACACAGAGACCCACAGACTCACACAGAGACCCACAGACTCACACAGTGACTCACACTCACACAGAGACCCACGGACTCACACAGAGACCCACAGACTCACACAGTGACTCACACTCACACAGAGACCCGCAGACTCACACAGAGATCCACAGACTCACACAGTGACTCACAGACTCACACAGTGACTAACACTCACACAGAGACCCACAGACTCACACAGAGACCTAGAGACTCACACAGAGACCCACAGACTCACACAGAGCCCTAGAGACTCACACAGAGACCCACAGACTCACACAGAGACCTAGAGACTCACACAGAGACACACAGACTCACACACTAACCCACAGGCTCACACAGATTCAAATACTGTACTCACACAGAGACTCATAAACTCACACACAGACTCAGAGGCTCACACAGAGACCCATAAACTCACACAGATTCAAATACTGTACTCACATAGAGACCCAGAAACTCACACACAGTCTCATGCGAGGCCCACACGGAGACCCATAAACTCACACAGAGACTCATGAACTCACACACATTCACCCAGAGCAGTAGCGTGACCCTCACTGACAGTGGAGGAGGCTTCATCCATCAGCGGAGGCCGCTAACGTAGACGAAGACAAACATCCCCTGGGGCAAAGTTGACGCACCCATACAGATACTCGGTTCAGGCTGAGTCGACCTAGAGAGGGCCCACCATCGGTTCAGATATACGTCCCGTGTTGCGTGGCCATGAGTGGACATCGCAAGGTCATCTGAGAGGTGGTGGCGACTTGACGAGGCCTTCATCCAGCAGTGGATAGGCCATGGCTGATGGTGACGATGGAGATGATGAATCGCCATCGTCACAATCAACAATTACCTTCCCACGTGTTGTCGTCTTTTTTTACTCGCGCGATGGACACTGCTGTTGTCCTCCACACACATGCGGGATCTTCCCCCAATGCATTCCAAGTCTCCTACTACTGGCGTCGAGCGCCACGTTACTCTTAACCCCCTTTCACAAAGGCAAAGATGCCCCGTGTAGCCTTTAACAGAATTGTTGTAGCAAGTGCTGTTAGAGCCCAGGAAGGCCGAGCACGACACGGAAGGGGTGGGGTGGCAAAACACCACGCCCCGGCCGCCTTTGTCTCCCCAGTGGCGATGTTTACACGCTGCCGCACCGGGTACTCATTGAAGGCCGAGTGCGCTAACCATTGCGCCACCGCTCCACGTCACACGCGCGTTCCCCACACATCGCGACGCGACAGGTCGTTCCGTGGTCGGTGTGTACATCTAAACATCTTTGATGCGGCTTCCTTTTCATTGTTTTTTTATGCGGATGAATAAAAAGTCGTACGCAATGTAAGAGATAGTATATGAAGCGTTAATATAAAGTGGTCATAACAGAGACATAAGTGGAATAACTATTGCTCCTTCCGCGAATGGGTTGCCACCTGTCCGGTTTGGATTGTCATCTGCAGTTCGGGTAGCAGGAATTGATGATCATCACTCTACAGCCACACACTCCACTACCCAGCCATACACTCCACTACCCAGCCACACACTCCTCTACCCAGCCACACACTCCACTACCCAGCCACACGCTCCATTACCCAGCCACACACTCCACTACCCAGCCACACACTCAACTACCCAGCCACACTCTCCACTATCCAGTCACACACTCCACTACCCAGCCACACACTCCACTACCCAGCCACACACTCCACTATCCACACACACACTCCACTACCCAGCCACACACTCCACTACCCAGCCACACGCTCCACTACCCAGCCACACACTCCACTACCCAGCCACACGCTCCACTACCCAGCCACACACTCCACTACCCAGCCACACACTCCACTACCCAGCCACACGCTCCACTACCCAGCCACACACTCCACTACCCAGCCACACACACCACTACCCAGCAACACACTCCACTACCCAGCCACACACTCCACTACCCAGCCACACACTCCACTATCCAGCCATACACTCCACTACCCAGCCATACACTCAATTATCCAGGCAAACACTCTGGAAATAACAATTATCGTGCCAACGGGTACATTACAAATCTGTCTACGTGACTTTACCGAAAGACCCAAAAAACATGAATACATTACAAATGTTTTATCATCATGATTATTGTCTGTACCGAGATCTGGCAAACTCTGGTGTTGAACTTTCTGACAGTTCTAACAACAGGTCCTGGTGCTAACTGAGAAACGTCTTTTTGGCCTGCAGTACACAAGGTGGCAGCCCTTCTTGTAACCTTGACCCCAACCGAACCGTGCTGAGATTCGCAAATTCACCAATTATTCTTATAACGTTCGTCAAAACAAAACAAAAAACCACGTGCCGACTGACGCGACCACCACCACCCCCCCCCCCCAAAAAACTCTCGCGCTGCGGTGAAGGGCTCGGCGTTGCGTCGATCGTCGATTGCGACGATCTTAACGCCACCGCCGCCGCCACCGCCCGCGCAAGTCGCCCTTCGTTGCTCAGTGGATCTTGCCGTCGCAGTAGCACGAGGCAGGGCAGTTCTTCTGGATCACCTTGCCGCTCGTGCTGTTGCTGCAGCCGTAGGTCGCCTTCATCTGGGCGCAGGTTGAGTAGTAGTCGGTGAACATGCAGGGGTTGACTGCGGGCGGCAGGGCAAGGCAAAGCGAGGCGGCGGTGTGAGCCACCGACGGCGGGTTGCTGGTGGCGACCGACAATGTGTGTGCATGCAGCGCGTTGAACTTCTTTCGTGCCGTACGTAGCCAAACGCGCTAATCGCTTGATGGAAAGCAACACGAAGCAGGCGGGTTTCCTTGATTCATCCAGAACTGCGCGCGAACATTTGCACCCGCTCACCCCACGCGCTCACCGGGGAAATCAGTCGCCTCTATTATTAATAGACGCTTTTTTATTATCTCACTCTGTCTGTTGTATCCTCAAATCTTGTAACTCATTTTAAACCCACTTCACAATGTGGTATCCGACTGCAAACTTGGTATAATTATGTCATACTGATGACAATACTATATTCTATCATTAAAAATAAAAATAAAAAAAATAAAAAAAATTCATGTTATGTTTCGGCTTGGGTCTAATTGTCCACGCTCAACTCACGTTGGCTGCAATTGACCACGGCCCCCTTACGTTGTGGCAAGCTTCGGGGCCACTTTCCTGGAGTCTTCAAAGTTCTTCCACCAGTACGGTACATTTCATTAAAGCGTGTTTTTTAAAAAAAGTATTCTTAAATATTACTTATTTTTGCTACTGCCGTGGTTGCTATCCCCGTGAACTTCACTCACCGAGGCCTTCTGCCCGTGTTTGAGGACTCTGTCTGTACCGCACTGACTAGCTCATCCAAACGGTGTTCAACCACCATCACCACCAATTCCAGTCACGGTCCGTGGCTGGAATTGGCCAAATCTGTCAATGCAGCTGGACACTGCTGCCGTGCAAAGTCTTTGCAGGGTGAGGTTTTCCTGGGTAAATAGTCGGCACCATCATCATAACCATCATCACCATCGTCGTCATCGTCATCACAAACCGTGCCCAATCATTGTTAATATTTAACACGCAGGAGGATTTCGCGACCAATATCATCCGTAATAGAGGTTTGTTTGGTTTAGATCGCGTAAATATATGCTTGTGTCGTTAAAACCCGCCACCACCCGACACGGCCAACTAGTAAGGGTTGTCACGTAAACAGAACGTGGCCAATTCGTCACTAGTGCAGAACTAGTGTATAGTGTAGTGTATAGTGTAGAATACTAGTACAGCACTAGTGTATAGTGTAGTGTATAGTGTAGTGTATAGTGTAGAATACTAGTACAGCACTAGTGTATAGTGTAGTGTATAATGTCGAATACTAGTACAGCACTAGTGTATAGTGTAGTGTATAGTGTAGTGTATAGTGTAGAATACTACTGCAGCACTAGTGTATAGTGTAGTGTATAGTGTAGAATACTAGTACAGCACTAGTGTATAGTGTAGTGTATAGTGTAGAATACTAGTACAGCACTAGTGTATAGTGTAGTGTATAGTGTAGAATACTAGTACAGCACTAGTGTATAGTGTAGTGTATAGTGTAGTGTATAGTGTAGTGTACTAGTACAGCACTAGTGTATAGTGTAGTGTATAGTGTAGTGTATAGTGTAGTGTACTAGTACAGCACTAACCGGTTGTGTGTTGGAGAGCCAAGCCACAACATTTACAATCCGAGTACGACGTTTCGCCAGTAACTACAACCAACTTCATCAGGCAGACAGCCAGATTTGTGGAGAGGTCCACCTGTCTCGTTCCTTATATAGAGGCGTGGATGTGGTGACCACGCCTCTGCACTCTTGAGTCAACGCACATTAGGCACGCGCATTATACTGTGTAGGAACCTCCTGGTTACACCACCAGCCCACAGGGGATTATTGTGTCCGTCCGTCCGCCGTGCATCCAAAAATGGGAGAGGTGGGGCTGGGTGGAGAGGGGAGGGTGGGGAGGGGCTGGGTGGGGAGGGAGGGGCTGGGTGGGGAGGGTGGGGAGGGGCTGGGTGGAGGGGCTGGGTGAGGAGGGAGGGGCTGGGTGGGGAGGGTGGGGAGGGGCTGCGTGGGGAGGGGAGGGTGGGGAGGGGCTGCGTGGGGAGGGGAGGGTGGGGAGGGGCTGCGTGGGGAGGGGAGGGTGGGGAGGGGTTGGGTGGGGAGGGAGGGGCTGGGCGGGGAGGGAGGGGCTGGGTGGGGAGGGTGGGGAGGGGCTGGGTGGAGAGGGGAGGGTGGGGAGGGGCTTGCGTGGGGAGGGGAGGGTGGGGAGGGGTTGGGTGGGGAGGGAGGGGCTGGGTGGGGAGGGTGGGAGGGGTGGGGCTGGGTGGGGAGGGGCTGGTCACCCCGTGGTGCCCTTATAAAACTCAACGTTTAACCTACTCACGCCGGCTTGTGCCCGCCCTCACAGTCGGGCATATTTGCGGAATACACCACGTGGTGCCGCCGTTGTCCCTAGCCATTGACCGAGCAACCCAACGTTCCTACCAGCTCCCTCCTCCGCAGGAGAATGTGTTGCGTCACCCATTGATCTCGTCCGCCTTGTCCATTGTGAGTATTAAAATAGCCGTACCAGCGGTAATCCCATGGCTCTTTCTCAGGAGGGTCCCGCCACGCGAATTCCATTCATTCGTGGCACGGGGGTTTAGGGCGCGTGCCCGGGTACAAACAGACACGGGGACAGCCATGAAGAAAGAGACGCACACGTGGAGAAAGACGAGCACCGAGGTCTAGAGTCGACACGTACGCGGAGACGGACGCGCAGAGAGACACACGCCCGACATAATTGTGTACGCCTCCAATAAAAGTTGGATCCCCCCGTGTATTCAACGCGTGTGTAATTTAACTGCTCCGTGTACACACGTGCAATGTATTTCAGGGCCAGATTATGACAATTCTGGGGCCCGAAGCTATGTCAAGCCGAAGACGCCTCCGTCGAGGAGTGCCTTCTATATTTTTTTCGTCACGTCGAAAGGCCTTCTTGTTTTATGCACAACTTCAAACGCCTTATTATTTTTTGCTTCGCGTTTAGGGGGTACCCTCATAACGCGAGTCCCGAAGCTGTAGCTTGCTTCGCCCGTGCCTAATTCGGGCCCTGATTCATTGACGCAAACAACAACAAAACCCCGGTTTACGTCGGGGGGTTTTCGTTCCTGAAAGGTACGAAGGCGGATATCGAAGATGTCGTAAATCGAAGCGATTCACAGGATAGGTGGTGCCGGTGCTGGTGGTGGTGGTGGAAGCGAAGGCTGAGAGGCGACGGATAACGAGAAAGGACTGTGGGTTGAAGCGACGCAAATCGGGGCAGCGGCGTCGGTAATTGATTACAGTGACGGCGTGTTTGCGAAACGAGGTCAAATGGGGGAGACGTAAACGGGGGGGAGGAGGGTGTTTTTGACTTAAAACTTTCGTGACTGCAGGAATTCATATTCTTTGGTTCTTTCGGTAAAGTCACGTAGATATAAAAAAAAATAAAGTTAATAAAAAATATCACGGCGTTATTTTTTTTATTATTATTCTTTTTCTATCTACGTGACGTTACCGAAAGGAACAAAGAATATGTTAATGGCGGAGTTGCTGTGTCGTCGGCAAAGCTCTGTCACCCGGCATCTATGGGGGACGGAGGGTGCCGATTAATCCGATCTGAGAGTCAAACATTTCCCGAGCGCGTGCAACTTTTCAAGAGAGAAACTGCGCCTACAATGTTTCTAGGGTTGGCTGTGGCGAAGCAGTGGGGCCCCCATTTGAGCACACAGTGGGTGCAATTCCGCCTGTACAGAGACCGCCGCCGGCACCACCACTCGCCAGCAGCAGCAGCAGCAGCGACCTGCAGCCCCCGTTGACGACGACTCCGGCTCCACCAGAAGCGAACGGCAAGATGCCGGAAGGCTGGCGGGATTTATTGTCGACGGATACGTGAAGGAAGGTTCCTGTTTTTGCCACCTACGACAGACGCCGGTCAACGGAGCATTCCGAATTGTAAAGGGTGCCACGGTGGCTATGAGATGTTAACTACCTCGCCTGGTATGCAGGAGGTCGTGGGTTCGATCTCAATCCTAACGCCTGCTGCTGTATATTTGGAGTTTGCGTGTCTCTCTCTCATCATCATCACGGTGGCTATGAGATGTTAACTACCTCGCCTGGTATGCAGGAGGTCGTGGGTTCGATCCCAATCCTAACGCCTGCTGCTGTATATTTGGAGTGTCCGTGTCTCTCTCTCATCATCATCACGGTGGCTATGAGATGTTAACTACCTCGCCTGGTATGCAGGAGGTCGTGGGTTCGATCCCAACCCTGACGTCTGCTGCTGTATATTTGGAGTTTGCGTGTCTCTCTCTCTCTCATCATCATCACGGTGGTTAGGAGATGTTAACTACCTCGCCTGGTCTACAGGAGGTCGTGGGTTCGATCCAAATCCTAACGCCTGCTGCTGTATATTTGGAGTTTGCATGTCTCTTTCTTTCCCCGTGGTCGCCAGGATTTTATCTGGGCCCTCCGTTTTTTTCCCTCCACGTTTAGAATCGCCGTACGTTGAAACTATTTGACTCCTGCTATAAATGTCCACGTGATCATAAGCCACTTCGGTGAGCTATCATTTGTGGCCAGGTCACTTCTGGAAAAAAAAAGCTTTACAGCTCAGTGGGCCTTTAGGGCCGTCCATAAATGACGTCACGCTATTTTGGACGATTTTTGACCCCCCCCCCTTCGTCACACGGCGTCACAAAAAGTCAGACCCCCCCCCTCAAATATGACGTCACACAGCTCTGCCCCCCCCCCAAAAAAAACACATGCTTCAAATCGCTTTAAACTATTGTCATTGTAGTGCTTATTTAATGTGGCACTGCACTCTGATGTTGTAGTAGAAAACATTTATTAAAAAGTCTATTACATTAAGTAGAACGTGTTGTCTATATTTATTAATGTGACGTCACATTTCTCAAACCCCCCCCCCCTTCGTCACACATCGTCACAAATGTCTGACCCCCCCCCTCCTCTAGGTGCGTGACGTCATTTATGGACGGCCCCTTTCCCTAGCAAAAGAAAAAAGAAAAATTTGGAAAACTGCAGACAACAGGGGCTTTCCGCGCACTTTTGCTCGCGAGGGCACGAAACGTCTACCACTGCGACTGCCGCCGTGCCCACCCGGCCGCTCGAGGCACGCACGCGTGCCCTCGGCGAACTCACCGCACAGCTTGTTGACGCAGCTCTTGGGGCAGGAGGTGCAGGCGCTCCCCTTGTCGTACGGCCGGAAGACACGCGTGTTCAGGTTCCCGCTGGGAGGGGCGACAGCAAGGGCAGGCGACGTCTCGCTCTCGGGGCAAAACGTCAACGACGACGACGACGGAAAAACAGGGCAGCCACGCGCTCGGCTCTGGCTGGGGGTCTTTACACGTGGTTGCTGGGGTGGGGAGGGGTCTTACATGAACCCTTTCGCATTCTGAGACATCTGCGTGTTGCCGCGTGGGTGTCCCGTTCGCCTGCTGAATTCTCAGAAAACTCAAGCGGTTTCTGCGTAAAACTTATTCAGAGACAAGCGTAGCGCCGTTGGTTTTTATGAAGACGTCGCACTCACTGCAGGGAACCGTAGCGACATGACCACCGCACTCTACGATAGCTGGCACCTAACTGTGCCACACGCCTTCTCGCATGGCCTTGTGGGAGCCTCGGTACCGTTAAAGTTTCGTTTAACTTTTGTTTTTCTTTTGATTCCGTTTCGATGTCGTGCACATACGTCATCGAAACTGAATCGGAAGAAAAACTTATGACGTACAGGGAAATGATTCCGTTTAAATTTGCATTTTTTATGATGACGGTATTAACCATAATACTGTCATAAACTTATACAGTTAGCAACTAAAACCGTCATAAACTAATGCTCAGTTTAACACGTAGGCTTTCGCGACGAATATTATTCATAAAAGGTTTTTGGGTTAGATCGCGTTATTTATAAACGTGTCGTAACCCTCCACCACCCGACACGGCCAATCAGCAAAAAAAGTGTCACATTGACAAAAGACAATTAGTTCACTACTTTATCCCACCGGTTTGTTGAAGAGTGAATCCGCAACATTTACAATTTTTGAGTACGACGTTTCGCTGGTAATTACATCCAGCATCATCGGGCAATTCGCCAGAATGGTGAGGCCCTCCACTTGCTCCCGGTCTTAAATAGAGCAGCAGCAGGGTGACGTCATCATTAACTCATGCTCCCATCAATACTGCCATACCGTCATAATACCATCGCCAAGTAATATTGTCATCAACTATGTACTGTAATACCGTCATCATAACACCATCATAATACCATCAATTATCCCCGTTAATTATAATACCGTCATCACTCTAATACTGTAATCAACTACGTCCTGTAATACTGTCATAATCAATACCGTCATCAACTTACACCATTTGGGCGAAATGGTGCTAAATGCCGAGAAAAAGGGCCATCTTAAAGGTCAGACACCACTCCGGCAACGTCTCCGAGTGTACCAACTCAACATTGAGGAAGTCTCAAGGCCGAACTTTGACCTCCTGGCCAGAAACCGAAGAGAATGAAGCCCTCCCGGCACGGCCAGCAACACCATCAGCAACAGACCTCGACATTGGCATCTACAGCTGCCGAACAACAGCATTGCTGCTGCCGTCACGCGCAAGAGAGTGGGGAGTAGAACCAGGGTCGTCTCATCTCTGCTCCACCTGTCGCAATTCCCTCCCATCGTCTCATTTTCATAAAAAAAAAACTCTGCCGAATTCAATAAAAGTGTCGCGACTTTCAGAATCACGATATTTATCCTGGAGGAATCCGATGAGCTATAAAGCTCTTTCGCGCAGATGTCCAGTCGTGCTGTTTCGTTTGCTGGCCACTTGACGCCTTTGGTTCTTTGGACACTTGCACCAAACAGCTGATTTGTAAAATCTTGATTTGAAGCTTTCGTGACTGCAGGAATCCATACTCTTTGGTTCTTTCAGTAAAGTCCACGTAGTAGGTATAAAATGAAATAAATCACGACGTTTCGGGCGCAACACAAGCGTCCGTCATCAGGTGGGAAAGCGATTTACAAACTAATTAAACAATTAAAAACAATCATTACTGAGTGGGGTAACGATGGATGTGCGGGCGTTGCTTACGCTGGACAGTAGTGGCAAACGTAGAAGTACTTCTTAGCAGTGGCGCAGAAGTTGACGGAGCATCCGATCTGGAAGGAACTGTACCACACCAGCTGCAATAACAAACAACAACCGACATTCGCCACTAAGTGGCTGCGACATCACCACAGCGCTTGCGCCAGGCTAAGTGCACGTTGAGGCCGTCACGTTAATTGTTGAAGGCTCTCCCTGCCGGCAGGAGAAGGTCACGGGACAGATCCAGGTGCCGTGGGTCGACTCCTTTGCCAGCTTAGGCGCAGGAGGAGGTCACCGGTACAGACCCAGGTGCCGTGGATTGACAAACTGAGATAACTGGCAGTTGCATCACCTGTGCCCCCTAAAGGTGCACGCGTTCGGCGTTTTATATATATATCACAGGCGTGGGTTACGTGTTATAATGGTGCGTACGTTCTGCGTTATAATAGGCACACGTTCTGCGTAACAACAGTGTGTGTGTTCTGCGTAACAACAGTGTGTGTGTTGGTGCGTAACAACAGTGTGTGTGTCCGTGCGTAACAACAGTGTGTGTGTGTTCGTGCGTAACAACAGTGTGTGTGTGTTCGTGCGTAACAACAGTGTGTGTGTGTTCGTGCGTAACAACAGTGTGTGTTTTAAATTTTGATTTAAAGCTTTCGTGACTGCAGTAATTCATATTCTTAGTTTTTTCGGTAAAGTCACGTTGAAGGGAAACAACAAAATAATAAAATATATATAAAACAATTAAAAATTATCACGACGTTTCGACCATAACTCAAACGGTCGTCTTCAGGTGTGTTGGTTTGCATAAATTTATTTTTAAACGGCGCATTTACTTATTTATAAAAAAAAACGTTAGCGCCACGCGCAACGATTTGGCAGTTTATTTAGGACTAGTCCATCTATATTCTGAAAAGAGGAGGGGGGAGACGAAATTTTTTATAATGTATGCTGTCTGAAAGCCACTGTAAGCGTGAACAATCAATTAAGACCTGAAATGGTTTATCAAATCTTTCCAATGATTGCTAAGATAGAATCCATCTTCACGGTTGAAATTGTCTCTGTGCTTGTATATGTGGATAGCCTCATGAACGAATCTCTCATGGAAGCCAGATGGCTTACAAAGAACCTCTGTCTTGGAAAAGTCAATGGCATGTGAGCCTACTGAATTAGAACAATGATCTGCCACGGCCGAGGTGTTGGTCCTACCGTGTTTAAGGTCTGCTTTGTGTTCACGAATGCGGTCCGAGACATGGCGTTTGGTTTCTCCAATGTAACTACTACCACAGAGGCAACTTAGTTTGTAGACACCAGGGTATTGTATGTCCGGAATCACATCTTTTACAGACGGAACCAGATCACGGATTTTATGTAATGTGTTGATTCAACCGCATTAATTGATCAATCTAAACAGTTTTCGTTGAAACCTTCTGCTGCCAGGCCACCAAGATTATACGGCTTACCAAAAATACATAAAGTAGATACACCCCTTCGTCCCATAGTCTCTACTATCGGCTCCCCCACCTACAAACTAGCTCGTTTTTTGTCTGAAATCCTGCGTCCTTTCACTGGAAAGACCACCTCTGCGGTACAAAATTCTACTCACCTGGTATCGACAATCAAGGGTATTTCCCTGTCCCCAGACGACCTGCTTGTCAGTTTTGATGTAGTTTCCTTATTCACCAAGGTTCCTGTACCTGACACCATTGCAATCATTGAAGACTTGGTTCATCAAGGACTAAACACTGAGGTACCCCCCCTGGTGAGACACTGTTTAACCAATACATACTTCACTTGGAATGGAACTTTCTACAAACAAACTGAGGGCACCCCAATGGGCTCCCCCCTTTCTCCAGTTATAGCTAACATTTTCATGGAGAAATTTGAGACTGACGCCATCCAGACTGCCACTCTGCGCCCAACCTTATGGAAGAGGTACGTGGATGACACTTTTGTCATCTGGCCACATGGCCGGCCTGCTCTAGACCAATTCTTCGACCACATCAATTCCATACACCCAGCCATCAGATTTACCATGGAAGTCGAAATACATGGCAAGATACCTTTTTTGGATGTCCTAATTAAAAAGAGACATGATGGTTCAATGAGCCACTCTATCTACAGGAAAGCTACCCATACGGATGCTTATCTGAAACCGGATTCCCACCACCATCCATCACAGAAGAATTCTCTCATCAAGACTCTGTATCATAGAGCCCAATGCATATCCGACCAGGAACACATAAGCAGTGAACTCAAACACGTACACCAAGCTCTTAGGGCTAATGGTTACTCCGACTATACAATCCGCAAAGCTATCACTCAAACCATGAAGAAGAACCCTCTTGAGGAGCCTTTCAAAACCATCACTTTACCCTACATTGCAGGGATCACAAAAAAGATCTCCAAAATCTTGAATAAACACAAGATCCAGGTCCGTTTCAACACATTACATAAAATCCGTGATCTGGTTCCGTCTGTAAAAGATGTGATTCCGGACATACAATACCCTGGTGTCTACAAACTAAGTTGCCTCTGTGGTAGTAGTTACATTGGAGAAACCAAACGACATGTCTCGGACCGCATTCGTGAACACAAAGCAGACCTTAAACACGGTAGGACCAACACCTCGGCCGTGGCAGATCATTGTTCTAATTCAGTAGGCTCACATGCCATTGACTTTTCCAAGACAGAGGTTCTTTGTAAGCCATCTGGCTTCCATGAGAGATTCGTTCATGAGGCTATCCACATATACAAGCACAGAGACAATTTCAACCGAGAAGATGGATTCTATCTTAGCAATCATTGGAAAGATTTGATAAACCATTTCAGGTCTTAATTGATTGTTCACGCTTACAGTGGCTTTCAGACAGCATACATTATAAAAAATTTCGTCTCCCCCCTCCTCTTTTCAGAATATAGATGGACTAGTCCTAAATAAACTGCCAAATCGTTGCGCGTGGCGCTAACGTTTTTTTTTTATAAATAAGTAAATGCGCCGTTTAAAAATAAATTTATGCAAACCAACACACCTGAAGACGACCGTTTGAGTTATGGTCGAAACGTCGTGAGATTTTTTTATTGTTTTATATATATTTTATTATTTTGTTGTTTCCCTTCAACAGTGTGTGTGTTCGTGCGTAACAACAGTGTGTGTGTTCGTGCGTAACAACAGTGTGTGTGTGTTCGTGCGTAACAACAGTGTGTGTGTTCGTGCGTAACAACAGTGTGTGTGTGTTCGTGCGTAACAACAGTGCGTGTGTTCGTGCGTAACAACACGTCACAATGGTGACGCATTCCGCGTGTGCCCCCAGCGGAAGAATGCGCGTGGCAGCCAAGGCGAGGAGTCACCGCGCGCTCCACGTTGATCCGCCGCGAGCGAGGCGCCTCTCACCTGCGTGTAGTGCTCGACGCCGGCGCCCTGGCCGGCCTTGTCGTACACGAAGCCCGGCGCGGTCACCTCGTTGTACCACTCACCGATGACGTACTTCCAGGTGAAGGGGGCATTGCCGATGTAGAGGTTTTCGCCGCAGCCAAACACTGCGCGGGACAGGCTTCGTCTAATCACTGCGGGGCTGTCACGTCGCATTGATTGGCGTCGTCGTCATCATCGTCGTCGTCGTCATCGTCGTCATCATCGTCATCGGGGCAGCTGCCGTGCTTGTTAATGGTTAGCGCACCAGACTTGCAGCCCAATCTGCTCACAGGGGTTGGCTACTTCCTCAATCCTGCAATCATCACACTTATAACTACACATATACTAATACAAAGATCCCCCGTATAGCCTTAACAGACTTTCTTTTCGGGCAAGTGCTGTTAGCGAGCACCTATAAAGGCGGGCACGGCACACGAGGGGGTGGGTGGCCAACACCACGCCCGGCCGCCTTTGTCTCCCTAGTGGCGATGTTTACACACCGCACCAGCAACTCATTTGAGGCTGACTCGACCTAGGGGAGGCCCTGGACCGGTTCAGATAATCGTCACTGGGTGTTGGTCATGAGCGGGAATCGAACCCGGGTCGCCAGGTTCGTAGCGCAGCGTAGCGCTAACCGCTACACTCCCGCTCCCCCCCATCACACACACACATAGACACACACATACACACGTACTCTCACATGTACACACGTACAGGAATTCTGCCACCGTGGTGTTATGGAGAGCACCACTGTGCTTGCAATCCGGAGGCCGCTAGCTCGATTGCCTATTTCCCAGCGCGGCAGGTGAAACAATGGGGACTGATTTCTTAAATCAATCCACTGCTGGCCTTCATCCAGCAGTGGATTAATCATGGTTTATGATAATTATTACAACAGATTTCGAGTCTTGGTGCTGATGATTTATATGGCAAGCCTTCGCTTAACGTACCCATAGGAGCAGATGCATTCCCGATAAGTGCCACGTTAAGCGAAAAACGCACTAGGCGAAAAAATGTTTCCCCCATAAATAATGTAAGGAGGATACAGTTTGGGCGAGATACGATCTACTGCTATGCACACGCGGTGAGATGGTGGGATACGTAAACTGAGGGTAGACCTGTATCATTGTGCGCACTATCACCGTAAAAGTAGTTCGTCGTGGACCGCTCAGAAACCACGTTAGAACAGGTGTCGCGTTAGAACGAGCACGTGCCGCCTTTTAATGGTTCGCGCTTCTCGTTACAGCAACGGGCGCATGTCTGCGTTTGCGCGCAAAGTGTCCCAAAACGGAAGAACCGCGTTGTAGCTAACACGCGTTGTTCGCGTGAACACCGCCACGCGTTAAGCGAGGATTTGCCGTAAATGAAAATAGTTATTTGCTTACGAAGTATGTTTTTTTTTAATATCTTACCAGGCAAGGCCCACTAAACTATATAGCTCTTTTTCAGAAGCGACCTGGCCACAAATGATAGCTCAATGACGTGGCTTATCACGTGGACATGTATAGCAGCCGACTACTCTGAACGCATGTTTCTAAATGTGGAGGGGAAAACCAGAGGACCTGGAGAAGAATCCACACGACCACAGGAAGAGACACGCAAACTCCAAATATACAGCAGCAGGCGTCAGGGCCGGGATCGAACCCACGACCTCCTGCATACCAGGCGAGGTAGTTAACATCTCCTAGCCACCGTGATTATGCTGAGAGAGACACACACTCCAAATATACAGCAGCAGGCGTCAGAGCCGGGATCGAACCCACGACCTCCTGTACACCAGGCGAGGTAGTTAACATCTCCTAGCCACCGTGATGATGATGAGAGAGACACAAACTCCAAATATACAGCAGCAGGCGTCAGGGCCGGGATCGAACCCACGACCTCCTGCATACCAGGCGAGGTAGTTAACATCTCCTAGCCACCGTGATGATGCTGAGAGAGACACAAACTCCAAATATACAGCAGCAGCAGGCGTCAGGGCCGGGATCGAACCCACGACCTCCTGTATACCAGGCGAGGTAGTTAACATCTCCTAGCCACCGTGGCGCCCCAAAGTGAATGTAAGTGCAGCAATGGGGTCTCACCCGGAGTCTTGCGGTTGGCGGACGCGCTGTGGCCCAAAGCACAGGATTTGGCCCAGTTGAGGCTGTTGTTGGCAGCTTGCTCGTTCCATGACTTAAGGGAGACAATAAAATGACTTAAGGGAGACAATAAAATAAAATCCACACTGCCATTCTCACGGGTCGGCAAAACCTGCGGCTGCAGAGCCGCATGCGACCCTTTAAGGGCCCTGCGACGTGACATTGTTCATGAAGGGCCCATCGGTATCTTATTCACCACGTGCATTGCGGCTCTTAAAAGATTTGAGGGTTTTTTTTGTTTAATGAATCCTACAAAAGAATGGATTTTCTTGTTATTTTGGCTGCCGAGCCCTGTCCATGCTTCGTTCATCGTCTGGCCGATGTCCCCCCAAAACACCTGGAATTGCATCGCTTCAACAATGTCCTTGGTGAACTCTCCCCATCCAGATCGCGATGCGGAGCTGTGGAACTGCGGATTCTGCGTGATTAGCACGCTTTGACGTTGTGTTTGACACGTGTCCATCACGACTTCAACAACCGCTCTCAATCCACTTTGAATGTTTTTTTTTCAAAGCAATTTCTCCCAGCTGAGTTTGTTTAAGAGGAATTTTTTTAATTCAATATTCATGTTTGTGCTGTGATTTCTAATCGGTTGTCGCTAGCCTCATGATTTATTTTGCTGTCTTTGCTCTGACTTCTATTCGGTTTAGTTGTCTCGCGTGTACATGCATGTTGAACTCCTTTCGCATCGTACAAGCCAACTGTGCCCAAATCAGAGGTGGTTGTTTTTACTCTGATTCCTATTTGCGTCATTGTTGTACTATAACAGTACAGTTACTTGTGTTTCTGTGTCACCTAGTTTTCTCATTTTGATAACATAGGTCACTCTAACTAACTAACTATTAATGAGCTAATTTCATTTTACCAGGTAAGGCCCACTGAGCTATCTAGCTCTTTTTTTTATAAGCAACGTGGCCACAGATAATAGTTCAACAAAGTAGCTTATCACGTGGCAACTTATAGCAGCCGAATACTCTAAACGCACGTTGGTTCTAAATGTGGAGGGAAAACCCGGCGAACCTGGAAGAACATTCACGCGACTATGGGGAGAGAGAGACACGCAAACTCCAAATATACAGAAGCATTCTTCAGGGTCGGAATCTAACCCAGGAACTCCTGTATACCAGGCGAGGTAGTTAACATCTCCTAGCCACCGTGATGATGATGAGAGAGAGAGACACGCAAACTCCAAATATACAGCAGGCGTCAGGGTCGGGATCAAACCCACGACCTCCTGTATACCAGGTGAGGGAGTTAACATCTCCAAGCCACGGTGGCGAGACGTTGACGGCTTATCCTGAACTCTTGAATTTCCACCCAGCTTAAATTTCCACCCAGCTTAACCAAAACAATGGTGAACCCTCGTGGACCAGCGTTATTTGAGATGCATTCGCAGCTGCTCGATTAAATCAAAAATGTATCGTCGCTGATTGTACGGACTGAAGAACACCATCATATGGCCATTCGGGAGCACAAGTAAGAGGGTGATAGTGACACATGCATATAACAACCTTCATAATCATCTTCTGAAAGACTTAAAGGAGCCTCCAGGCCACGATTTAAAGCAAGTCTTTCTATGGTCTCTTGGGAGTTGAACAAAATAACGCTATATACTGTATTACTATATTTCCAATTTTTCCACGCAAGGCCCAATGAGCTATGCGGCTCTTTTTTTTTTAAACCTGGCCACAAATGAGAGCTCAACGAAGTGGCTAATGGTGGTCATTCATAGCAGCAGCCAAATACTCTAGACGCGTGATGTTGCTTTTTAAATGTGGTGGGGAAAAGCCGGGGGACCCGGAGAGGATTCCACGCAACGACGGGGAGAGAGACACGCACACTACAAATATGCAGCAGGTGTCAGGGTCGGGGTCGAACCCATGCGCGCCTGTATAGCAGACAAGTCACTTAACATCTCTCTACCGTGACGCCGAAGTAAACTTGAACAACTCCCACAAGAACCTTCACTGAAGCGCCCTCGGGTTCCTCTTCTTCCGCTGAAGATTTCGTGGTGCCACACACGCGGCGGTCGCTTCTGCCGTGGCCGGGGGGCGGCAGGGGGCGGCAGGGGGCGGCAGAGGTCCCATCACCTGTGGGGGTCCCACCACCTGTGGTGGTCCCACCATCTGTGGGGGTCCCACCATCTGTGGTGGTCCCACCATCTGTAGGGGTCCCACCATCTGTGGTGGGACCACCATCTGTGGGGGTCCCACCACCTGTGGTGGGACCACCATCTGTGGGGGTCCCACCATCTGTGGGGGTCCCACCATCTGTGGGGGTCCCACCATCTGTGGGGGGTCCCACCATCTGTGGGGGTCCCACCATCTGTGGTGGGACCACCATCTGTGGGGGTCCCACCACCTGTGGGGGTCCCACCATCTGTGGGGGTCCCACCATCTGTGGGGGTCCCACCATCTGTGGGGGTCCCACCATCTGTAGGGGTCCCACCATCTGTGGGGGTCCCACCACCTGTGGTGGGACCCCCACCTGTGGGGGTCCCACCATCTGTCGAGGTCCCACCACCTGTGGTGGGACCACCACCTGTGGGGGTCCCACCATCTGTCGAGGTCCCACCACCTGTGGTGGGACCACCACCTGTGGGGGTCCCACCATCTGTCGAGGTCCCACCATCTGCAGCATGTTGCTGTGTGGGGGGGGGGGTCCCTACCATCTGCAGCATGTTGCTGTGTGGGGGGGGTCCCTACCATCTGCAGCATGTGGTTGTGGGGGGGGGGAGTCCCTACAATCTGCAGCATGTTGCTGTGTGGGGGGGGGGGGGTCCCTACCATCTGCAGCATGTTGTTGTGGGGGGGGGGGGGGTCCCTACAATCTGCAGCATGTTGCTGTGTGGGGGGGGGGGTCCCTACCATCTGCAGCATGTTGCTGTGTGGGGGGGGGGTCCCTACCATCTGCAGCATGTTGGTGTGGGGGGGGGGGTCCCTACCATCTGCAGCATGTTGTTGTGGGGGGGGGGGTCCCTACAATCTGCAGCATGTTGCTGTGTGGGGGGGGGGGTCCCTACCATCTGCAGCATGTTGCTGTGTGGGGGGGGGGGGGTCCCTACCATCTGCAGCATGTTGTTGTGGGGGGGGGGGTCCCTACAATCTGCAGCATGTTGCTGTGTGGGGGGGGGGTCCCTACCATCTGCAGCATGTTGCTGTGTGGGGGGGGGGGGTCCCTACCATCTGCAGCATGTTGCTGTGTGGGGGGGGGGGGTCCCTACCATCTGCAGCATGTTGTTGTGGGGGGGGGGGTCCCTACCATCTGCAGCATGTTGCTGTGTGGGGGGGGTCCCTACCATCTGCAGCATGTTGCTGTGTGGGGGGGGGGGGGGGTCCCTACCATCTGCAGCATGTTGTTGTGGGGGGGGGGGTCCCTACCATCTGCAGCATGTTGCTGTGTGGGGGGGGGTCCCTACCATCTGCAGCATGTTGCTGTGTGGGGGGGGGGGGTCCCTACAATCTGCAGCATGTTGCTGTGTGGGGGGGGGGGGTCCCTACCATCTGCAGCATGTTGCTGGGTGGGGGGGGGGGGTCCCTACCATCTGCAGCATGTTGCTGTGTGGGGGGGGGGGGTCCCTACAATCTGCAGCATGTTGCTGTGTGGGGGGGGGGGGTCCCTACCATCTGCAGCATGTTGCTGTGTGGGGGGGGGGGTCCCTACCATCTGCAGCATGTTGCTGTGTGGGGGGGGGGGGGGTCCCTACCATCTGCAGCATGTTGCTGTGTGGGGGGGGGGGGGTCCCTACCATCTGCAGCATGTTGCTGGCTGCTGGGCTCACGCCTCGACGCAGCTGGTTGTGAAGGTCCACGATGTTCTTCTGCACCGACGCCTGCGCGGTGCTCAGCGACGTCCACTTGGTCACCGTCACGGCGGCCGCGGCTGCCTCGGCGGGCGGCACCGCAGCGGCCAGCAGCACTCCCAGCGCCACCATCAGGGCGCAGCTGTGAACACGAAACAATGACAGAGGGCGCCACGGTGTCTATGAGATGTTGACTACCTCGCCTGGTGTGCAGGAGGTCGTGGGTTTGATCCAGACCCTGACGCCTGCTGCTGCTGTATATATAGAGTTTGCGTGTATCTCTCTCATCATCATCATCATCACGGTGGCTATGAGATGTTAACTATCTCGCCTGGTGCGCAGGAGGTCGTGGATTTGATCCCGACCCTGACGCCTGCTGCTGTATATTTGGAGTTTGCGTGTCTCTCTCTCTCATCATCACGGTGTCTATGAGATGTTAACTACCTCGCCTGGTGTGCAGGAGGTCGTGGGTTTGATCCCGACCCTGACGCCTGCTGCTGTATATTTGGAGTGTCCGTGTCTAATCTCTCATCATCATCACGGTGGCTATGAGATGTTAACTACCTCGCCTGGTATGCAGGAGGTCGTGGGTTCGATCCCAACCCTGACGTCTGCTGCTGTATATTTGGAGTTTGCGTGTCTCTCTCTCTCTCATCATCATCACGGTGGTTAGGAGATGTTAACTACCTCGCCTGGTCTACAGGAGGTCGTGGGTTCGATCCCGATCTTGCCGCCTGCTGTATGTTTGGAGTCTGCGTGTCTCTCTCACTCCGTGGTCGCGTGGATTTTTCTCCGGTTTTTCCTTCCACATTTAGAATCAACATCACGCGTTTAGAGCATTTGACTGCTACACATTTCCACACCATAAGCCACATTGTTGAGCTTTCATTTGTGGCCAGGTCGCTTCTGAATAAAGCCCTATGCAGCTCAGTGGACCTTACCCAGTAAAGTAAACATAATTTCCCATATAGCCTTTAAAATACTGACGGTGCAAGTGCTGTTAGCGAGTAGCACCTGTGAAGGCCGGTATAGTACATGAGAGCGAGTGGGTGAGACAGCACCTGCACGCTCAGGCCGCCTGTGTCTCCCCACCGACGATGTTTATACAACGCACCGGGTACTCGATTTAAGGCTGAGTCGACCTAGAGGGCATGCCCTGGACCGGTTCAGATAACGGTCACAGGTCTTGGTGGTCGTGAGCGGGAATCGAACTCGGGTTCGCCAGGTTCGCGGTGCAGCGGGCTGAACCGCTCCCCACACGGTCACACACGCAGACAACGCGTTCCACGGCATGTACGTGCGTTGAACTTCTTTCGCGAGCGTACGTAGCCAACCGCGCTCATCGGAAAGTGCGGGGAGGGACGACGAAACGAAGCTCACAACAGAAGCAGCGATGCGAACGGAACATTTGCACGGCCCGCCGTGATTTTATTTGTGCGATCGAGACGCTTCTTAAAAATCGAACGATGATTCTGGTCGACCACAGGACGGTTCGAATGCATTATACGGCGACGTGGTGAAGGTCACACTAATGATCACTTTACCTGAACATCTTTCTCGAATGTAAGTCCGCGCGTAGCTGTTCTCCGCAGGAGATGACAAAACATCCCCATTGACCCAGGGCTTTTTAAAGAAATTGCTGACAACGCCCCCCCCACCTTCCACACCAACCCCCCACCACCACCACCACCGGGTCAGATAATGCCGATTTTCTTTTTTGAAAGACTGTTCCGAATGTTCTTAGCTCTTTCGGTAAAGTCACGTTTCATTGTTTCCCTTCAACGTGACTTTACCGAAAGAGCTAAGAATATGAATTACTGCAGTCACGAAAGCTTTAAATCAAAACTGTTCCGAATGTTCTGCCCATTGTCGTCTCTGGAAATGTCAAAAATAAATGGGACGGATCGCCGACAATGAGCAGGATACGATTTCGGGGTTTAACGCTTAATGCGTGGCCCTGCCATCTCCCGGTCTCACTCACGCCACCCTTTGTGACACTACCACCACCCCCACCTCCCCCGAGCACGCACGTACCCTGCTGCTGCAGCTACCACGCCTCGTGCGATTTCTTGTGGTCGTTGTTGTTGTTTGATTTGCATCCCACTGGGATTTTCTTTGCACACAGCGTTGGTGTTGTACGGTGCTTTTTTTTCAGGAATATTTTTGCTGGTTTTTTTTGTCCATGGATTTTCTGTTTTGCACGGTCACACGCAGTCACTTTAAGATGTTTTTTCTTGCTCGTGTTTTTGTTTTTTTTGTTTGTTGCGGTTGCACCCGATTCAAGAGCCGAATGGCTCACAGGGCTATACCAAAATAAATAAACTTTTAAAAAAGGGTCGGTGGTGGCGCGGTGGTTCTAACACTTGTGGCTCACGACAAGAAGGACCTGGGATCGATCCCCCCCCCGACACGGGCGTCTCTCTCTCTCTCTCCGTGTGTGGCATGGTCTCTCCTCCCCTGCACTTGCAGAGCATGCAGTTCCGCATTAAGCAAGCGCTGTGCCTGTAGCGTTATGTTATGAAGGGGCCCGAAGTAAAATAAAAACACGTAAATATTACAAACACGTACATTTTTTACTTGCACGGTAAAGTTATTGTACTTTTTCCATTTGCTATACAGCTAGATAACACGACAAATCGCTAAGTTAAACACCAAGTCGTTCATACAAGTTGAAGGGCGGTATAGTACTATAGTAATAGAGCAAGTGCAGAATCACTGAACCGGAATTGATAGCTTGAAAGCATTTAGCGCGGAGCCCTTGAAAGTGCGGGGCCTGTAGCTACTACATATGTGTAGTAGCTACTACATATGTGTAGTTGCTACTACACACGTGTAGTAGCTACTACACATGTGTACTACACATGTACTACACATGTGTAGTAGCTGCATGTGTAGTAGCTACTACTGCTACTAGCTGCTACTACACATGTAGCTGCTACTACACATGCAGCTACTACACATATAGTAGCTACATGTGTAGTAGCTACATGTGCATGTGTAGTAGCTAGTAGTAGCTACAACACGTGTAGCTACAACACGTGTAGCTACAACACATGTAGCTACTACACATATGTAGCTACTACACATATGTAGCTACTACACGTGTAGATACTACACATGTAGCTACTACACACATGTAGCTACTACACATATGTAGCTACTACACATGTAGCTACTACACATGTAGCTACTACACGTGTAGCTACATGTGTAGTAGCTACATGTGTAGCTACTACACATGTAGCTACTACACATGTAGCTACTACACGTGCAGCTATTACACGTGCAGCTACTACTACATGTAGCTACTACACGTGCAGTTACTACTATATGTAGCTACTACACATGTAGCTACTACACGTGCAGCTTCTACTACATGTAGCTACTACACGTGCAGCTACTACTACATGTAGCTACTACACGTGCAGCTACTACTACATGTAGCTACTACACATATGTAGCTACTACAACAGCAGCTACTACACATGTAGCTACTACACATAGGTAGCTACTACACATGTAGCTACTTGTGCTACTAGGATCATCCGGCACTGAGAGTATGAGTGTGTATGAGTGAGTGACCTCACAATCCTCCAAACCCGGATCTGACCTACCCCGGAAGATCTGGTTCTCCTTGAATCGGATTCGGACGCCCGATGGAAGATGGTTGGGACACTTCCTCCATGAATGGAAAATTAACGAGAGTTTAGTTTGCGACAGTGGTGGTGATGGTGGTGCCTCTCACTCCGTACAGCATCTCAGGATCGGACTGCCCCAATCGGATCATTCAACGGCGATCTGAAACAAATACAACCGGCTCCTCCTGAAGCAGTCGGATGGATATAAAATCTCGACGTGAATTTGTAATCTGTTGTAATCCCCCAAAGATGGCATACGAAACAAGACGAGTGAGTGAATGTGTGAGCCTGTATGAGTGACTGTGAGTGCGTGGAGTTTGTATTTTCTCTCTGCACCAGTGGCGATTATCTGAACTGGGCCTCCCCTAGGTCAATTCAGCCTAAATTGAGTACCTAGTGCGATGTGTAAAAAACATTGCCACACTGGGGGAGACAAAGGCGGCCGGGCGTGGTGCTGGCCACCCACCCCCTTGTGTGCCGTTTCTGGCCTTCGTAGGTACTCGCTAAAATCATTTGCCCCAACAGTTTGCTAAGGCTTTACGGGGGGTCTTTGTCTTTTTAACAATAGTGTGGAGTGCCGTCATCCAGCAGTGGATGAACCACGGCTAATCATAGCTTCTATAATGCAACATCTCAGGATGCGTTTACAGCAATGGAATAAAACGTGGGAAACACTCAAGTGTGCGATAGTGTTTGTACAACAGCTGACATTGTTCATCATTGTGGACAGGCGAAGAGTTGAAAAGTCAAAAGCGTTTACAGGCCTGCAGGGCCAGTCGTGGACAATCCACATTACTATGGTATGGGCAAGTTCATCCATAGAACCATCATTGTTGATTTGAAGCTTTCGTGACTACACTTACGTGACTTTGCCGAAAGAACATTGTTGACTTTCCTACAAAATGGTAGTCATTTTATCTACCCTGGAAGGATGATAGTTTGAGCCAACCCCCCCCAAGCTTCGCATTGAAGCCAAATTCTCGACCGCGACGCCATCTGACCAGATCACTTTCATGAAGAGTCAGTTGTCATGGCAGATAGCCAAATCAGAGGTTAGGGTTGGTGGTGGTGATGATGGTGGTGGTGGTGATCGTGCTGATAGTGATCTTGATGCCGCTGATGGTGTATATGATGGTATTGATGCTGTGCGTGATGGTGCTGATGTTGTTTAGTTGTTGGGGACAATGGTTGTGGTGAAAGTGGTATTTCTATTGATGGTGTTGGTCGTGGAGAGCGGTTAGCGTAGTAGTTTGCGCACTGCGCTACTAAGCCGGTGACCCGAGTTCAATTCCCACTCACGACAAAAATCGGTGAGGACCATCTGTACCGGGCCAGGGCCTCCCCTAGGTCGACTCAGCATAAAAAATGAGAATCAGAATATCTATTTGGACTGGAGGAATCCGATGAGCTATGAAGCCCGTTGTTTCACAGATGTCTAGAAGGGGCGAGTCAGCACGTTACGACAACAAACACAATCCAAAAAAACACGATAGGAGTGTATAGGAAATGGTAAACAAATCACTTAAAAATATACACTCATTAAACAAAATTTGTTTGTTTATTTACTTAAACAGAGGCAAAGCACACTGAGCTATCAACTTATGTTTCAGGAGCCACGTGGCCACAAATAATGGCTCAAAGGAGTGGATTATCATCGTGCGGAAATTTAGAGCACGGGCAGAGAACACATCGCAATGACGAATGACGCCCAACAGTAACAATGGAGCAAGTTCGTGAAGAGTGGGCAGGAAAGCCCCCTCCCCCCACCACGCCCCCCCCACCACGCCCCCCCACTATGCCCCCCCCACCACACCCCCCCCCCCACCGCCTCCCCCCCTAAGCCCCCCCCCACCCACGCCGCCCCTCCCCCAGTGCCGGACTAAGCTAGTGCAGGGCCTTAGCATATGTTATAAAGGAGCCCTAAATAAATTAATAAAACACGTAAATATTTTTAAAAAAACATACATTTTTAACTTGCATAGTAAAGTCATTGTATTTTTTCATTTGCTATGCAACCAGATAATACGACAAATCGCTAAGCTTAAACACCAAGTCGTTCATACAAGATGAAGGCAGTATAGTACTCTAGTAATAGAGCAAGTGCAGAATCACTGAACCGGAATTGATAGCTTGAAAGCATTTAGCGAGGGGGCCTTGAAAGTGCGGGGCCCGTAGCTACATATGTAGCTACTACACATGTAGTAGTAGCTACATATGTAGCTACTACTACATATGTAGCTACTTGTGCTACTCGGATAATCTGGCACTGCCCCCCCCAACACCCCTCCCTTGGGTCAGCTGTTAGGGAGGAATTCGCTGAAAGCTTTAGCAGCAAGTCATCACATTCTTCGGCTTTGGCACAAATATGTTGGACAGATAAATTATAGGTACACACGCTCGCAGACTCCCACCGGTCGCGCACGCAATGCCAGCACGCACGCACGCACGCCCGCCCGCCCGCAAGAATACTGCGATCCCGAGAGAGGATTTAACCGGCGCCTTTAATGTTCGTCGCCTAATCAGCATTGTGATGTCTCGGAGAGCCTCGGGGTGGAGGGCGCTGACGCTGCTGCTGCTGCTACGCCGTCGTTTGCGTGCCAGCTTCTGGGGGCGTCAGCCCAGCGCCGTACGCGCGAATCGCCACGTGGCCTCCGGATGATTTGTCCATCCGACCGGTGGATGATTTGAACATCCGACCGGTGGATGATTTGAACATCCGACCGGTGGATGATTTGAACATTCGACCGGTGGATGATTTGAACATGTGCCCGTTGGATGATTTGTCCATCTGACCGGTGGATGATTTAAACATCCGACCAGTAGATGATTTGTCCATCCGACAGGTGGATGATTTGAACATCCGTCCGGTGGATGATTTAAACATCCGACCAGTGGATGATTTGTCCATCCGACAGGTGGATGATTTGAACATCCGAACGGTGGATGATTTAAACATCCGACCAGTGGATGATTTGTCCATCCGACAGGTGGATGATTTGAACATCCGACCGGTGGATGATTTGAACATCCGACCGGTGGATGATTTGAACATCCAACCGGTGGATGATTTGAACATTCGACCGGTGGATGATTTGAACATCTGCCCATTGGATGATTTGTCCATCTGACCGGTGGATGATTTAAACATCCGACCAGTGGATGATTTGTCCATCCGACAGGTGGATGATTTGAACATCCGAACAGTGGATGATTTGAACATCCGACCGGTGGATGATTTGTCCAACTGACCGGTAGATGATTTGAACATCTGACCGGTGGATGATTGTCCATCTGACTGGTGGATAATTTGAACATCCGAACGGTGGATGATTTGTCCATCCGACAAGTGAATGATTTGAACATCCGACAGGTGGATGATTTGTCCATCTGACCGGTGGATAATTTGAACATCCGAACGGTTGATGATTTGAACATCCGACGGTTGGGTGATTTGTCCATCCGAACGGTGGATGATTTGAATATCTGACTGGTGGATGATTTGTCCATGCGACAGGTGGATGATTATAACATCCGAACGGTGGATGATTTAAACATCTGACAGGTGGATGATTTAAACATCTGAACGGTGGATGATTTGAACATCCGACCGGTGGATGATTTAAACATCCGAACGGTGGATGATTTGAACATCCGACAGGTGGATGATTTGAACATCCGATGGGTGGATGAATTGTCCATCCGAACGGTGGATGATTTGAACATCTGACCGGTGGATGATTTGAACATCTGACCGGTGGATGATTTGTCCATCCGACAGGTGGATGATTCTAACATCCGACCAGTGGATGATTTGTCCATCCGACAGGTGGATGATTTGAACATCCGACCTGTGGATGATTTGAACACCGACCGGTGGATGATTTGAACATCCGACCTGTGGATGATTTGAACATTCGACCGGTGGATGATTTGAACATCTGCCCGTTGGATGATTTGTCCATCTGACCGGTAGATGATTTAAACATCCGACCAGTGGATGATTTAAACATCCGACAGGTGGATGATTTAAACATCCGAATGGTGGATGATTTGAACATCCGACCGGTGGATGATTTGAACATGCGACAGTTGGATGATTTGAACATGCGACAGGTGGATGATTTGTCGATCCGACAGGTAGATGATTTGAACATCCGACCAGTGGATGATTTGAACATCCGAACGGTGGATGATTTGTCCATCCGACAGGTGGATGATTTGAACCTCCGAACGGTGGATGATTGTAACATCCGAACGGTGGACGATTTGTCCATCCGAAAGGTGGATGATTGGAAAATCTGACAGGTGGATGATTTGAACATCCGAACGGTGGATGATTTGTCCATCCGACAGGTGGATGATTTAAACATCCGAACGGTGGATGATTTGAACATCCGAAAGGTGGATGATTTGAACATCTGACAGGTGGATGATTTGAACATCCGAACGGTGGATGATTGTAACATGCGAACGGTGGACGATTTGTCCATCCGACCGATGGATGATTTGAACATCCAACAGGTGGATGATTTGTCCATCTGATCGATATCTATGATGCAGTGCTGAGCCTATGGGCAGTGTTGAGTCTATGGGTAGTGTAGCGTCTATGGGCAGTGTTGAGTCTATGGGCAGTGTTGAGTCTATGGGCAGTGTTGAGTCTATGGGCAGTGCTGAGTCTATGGGCAGTGCTGAGTCTATGGGTAGTGTTGAGTCTATGGGCAGTGTTGAGTCTATGGGCAGTGTTGAGTCTATGGGCAGTGTTGAGTCTATGGGGCAATGTTGAGTTTGGAGAGGTGTTAACTACTCACTGTTCGGTAACCTGCATTGCCACTAGGTATCAAAGGGGCAGTGCAGCGTTACCTCTGTGTACATAATGGTTGGGCTCAGACGAGGTGAAGTGGATCGTAGCCACAGTTTGGTAAGAACCAATCAGACAGTTACACGTGGGAATGTGGGATTGGTTACACCTGGCCACAAACGGGTATAAGAAGGGTGACCACGCAGAGTGCGAGGAGTTCTCTCCCTACACGAAGACTGAAGCCCGGGCTGAAGATAGTCAGGACCTTGGACCCGGCCTTCCAGCCCTTCTGAGGGCTAAGGCTCGGCGTATCCAGTGGTCAAGACCCACCGGGCCAGCGGTGGGTTAGATAGCCTCCCCTAGGTCCCAGCCGGAGGACTCTAGGATAGCGGTAGACGTGTGAGTAAGTCCCGCCAAGATAGGAGGCTGTACCTCCTTAGGTTAGGAAGAGACCTGTGTGTAGGTCACGCTAAGTCCGGAGGCTGTATCTTCTTAGGGTATCGGGTAAGGGGACCGTATACCCCTCTGTGTGTTAAGGACTGTTTAAGAGAAGTATTACAATAAACAGAGTGTGCCTCGTAAGAAGTTTATTCGTCATTATAAACACTACAACTGGAGTCAGAAGTGGTTGAAAATGGAAACGAGAAGTTCGGCCCACGTGCGAAGTCAGAATGAAGAAAACCCTGACTCACCTGAGGGAACCGCCAACACCGCTGAAAATGCCGGCGCGTTGCCAGCCGCCCATCCACCGGCTCAGCAGCCGGTTGCTCCTCCTGCCATGGGGGACGGACTCCGGGCAGCACACAGCCGTCTTGCCCAACTTCTACATGCTGCGGCCTCCATTCTTGACAAGATCAACTCGGAGGTCGCGGGCGGATCGAATCAGCCACCGGCGGATGTTCCCGCCATCGGCCAAGACGGACATTTTGATTTTCCCGCCGAGGAACCACGTGGTCCCGCCGGAAGCGGAAGCCAAGGGCATTCTGGGAATGCTGGGGGCCAATTACACCCTGTAGAGTCATCAGCGCGCGAAGCTGTTAACTCACGCTACTCAGCCGATGCCACATCATCACAGTACCGACAGAGTACAGTAGACACTATCGGCCAGGCGATCGCCGATTTCCGGCTCGAGACTGTCCAGGCTGAGGAGGAAACGACGTCCACCCTCCAACAGCGCCTGCCCATCTTTCGTGAATTCGCGTCTACAGGGGGCGACTGGGCGGCGTTCCAGCGTCGCTTCCTGAGCCACCAAGATATGGTGGGCTGGTCGGACGCACAGGCGCGTCGAGTGCTACCGGCCACCTTGGACGACGACGCTCTCGCCTCGCTCCTCACCATACCCAGGCAACGAAGGGCGACTCTACAATCGACCCTCCGACGGATGTCCGACGTCTACGGGCCTCCGTCTGACGTCCGCAGCCGGTTTTATGATAGGCGACGCCACCCTAAAGAGTCTCCACTAGCGTTCCGGACCACTCTACTCGCGATGGCAAGAGCGGGTTACCCCCGCATGGACGATGAAGCCATCGATGCTATCGTCCTCCAGACGATGCTGGAACTGGCGCGCGAGCTGCACATCGTCATCCAAGCGGTGGACGACGACAGTATGTGCTCGCTACGAGCCGCTCGGAGCATCCACGCGGATCTACTACTCCACACGGATTCGACCATCGCCGCCTCGGCTTCGACATCGGAGCCTGCCAGCAGGGACACCAAATTCTCCCCCGACCGGGCCTTCATGGCGACCAGGTCAAGGGGCCGACGATCGTCCGACCACGCTGATCGCCGCAATGACCAGCAGCGGGGACAGCCTCCTCCACGCAGCGACATGACGTGCTTCAACTGTGGAAGTTCGCTGGGCATTATTGGGCAAATTCGTGCGCAAATTTCAATTGGTGACATTAAATTGGTGGGGCCTATTTTGGTCTCTTCCTCCCTCGCCGTGCCGTGTTTGTTAGGCACTGACTTTCTCGCGAAAATGCCTATTAAGATCCTTGTAGATCAAGGCTGCATAGAACTCCCGTCGGGTCGACGGATGACGTTCTTGCCCACGCCCTCACATCTGCGCACGGCAAATGCCTCTGTGCAGGCGTTCGTCGCCAGCACAGTCCGCATTCCGCCAGGGACACAAATGCTCGTGCCATTGCGACTTAAAAAACCGCTAGCGCCGGACGCCTCGGCGTCCCAACATTTTGCCGGGACCTTCCAACACAGCTGTTAAAGGGTTGGAATTACTGGCTGCACAGACCCACGTAGCAGCTGACAGGGAGCCGTTCTTGCAGGTTTTGAATGTTGAATTGTCCTCAACCATCATTCCGCAAGGAACTGTGCTCGCTCACGCGACCCCGGTGCCTCTGTGGACCGGAGTCGTGGGACACGTGCTTAACAGGCCACAGGTTCCACCTCCTTCTGAATCAGATGAGGAATGGTTGGACGCGCTCTGCGCAGACACAGGTGTTCTGTCTGGTTCGCAGCGAATTAAATTGCGCGCTCTTCTGCGAGAATTTTCTCATATATTCAGTAAATCTAAATTTGATATTGGCTGCACCGAGCTGCTGCGTCACCACATTGATACTGGTGACGCTGCCCCTATTTGACAAAACCCGTTTCGGCTTAGCCCGGCGGAGAAGCAGCATGTTAAATCGGCTGTGGATGACGTGCTGGAGGCCGATATCATTTCTCCTTCCACTAGTCCCTGGGGTGCTCCAATAGTGCTGGTCAAAAAGCACGATGGCAGTCTTCATTTTGCGTTGATTTTCGGCGCCTAAATAAAATCTCGGTAGCTGACGCCTACCCTCTCCCTCGTATGGATGAGTCATTGGATGCCCTGGCAGGAGCGCACTTTTCTCCACTTTGGACCTTCTGTCAGGGTTTTGGCAACTCCCCCTCGATGAAGCGTCAAAACTTAAGACTGCTTTTCGGACACCACAGGGCCTTTTTGAGCTTAATAGATTGCCCATGGGTCTCCACTCGGCCCAAGCGATGTTCCAGAGGCTCATGGAGCTGGTCCTCGCTGGGCTCCAGTGGGACTCATGTCTCATTTATCTTGACGACGTCATCGTCTTTAGCCGCACGTTTGGCGAACACATTGAGCGATTGCATGCTGTTATTCTTGAAAATGCGGGCCGCTAACTTAAAATTCAAGCCGCAGAAGTGTCACCTTCTGCGTGAGTCTGTGCGCTATTTGGGCCACATAGTCAGCCACTCAGGAATTTCTACCGACCCTGAAAAAAACAAATGCATTCGACAATGGCCGACCCCTACATCTGCAGGCGATGTTCGCAGTTTTATTGGTTTTGCGTTATATTAACGCTGTTTTGTTGCTGGATTTACGACGATTGCCAAACCGCTTCATGCCCTTACGTCCAAAGGGGTGATGTTTCATTGGGGGGATGCGGAACAGGCCGCATTCGACTCCTTGTGGAACGCACTCGTAACGGCACTGTCCCTTGCATACCCCGATTTTTCCGTACCATTCGTGTGCTAGCAATACGGGGATTGGGGGTGTTCAGTCCCAAAAGGTTGATGGCATTGAAAGGGTCGTTGCCTATGACCAACCGTCTGGCCAGCTTTCTCGGTGGCTCGGACTCCTTCAGGACTATGATTTCAATGTTACTTACCGTAAGGGTGGACAACACACGAATGCCGATGCGTTGTCTCGCCTCCCGCCGGCTCAAAAATGTGCATGCTTTACGGGCTCTGGCCGTTGTAAGCCGCCACTGCCTGCGCAGGTCGCGCCTCTCGAAACGGTGTCCGCCGCGCTTCCCGTCGCCTCAGCGCCGATGTTGTATCATGCAGATCCAACGGCCAGTGACGACTTGCTGGGGCTGACTATGGCCGAATGGGGTCGGCACCAGAGCGACGATATGTCATTGTTGCGGTTGCGTCATCACGCAAATAATGCGCCTCCGTGTCAAGGGAAATTCAATTAATTTGTTATGAAGCTCGGCTTGCTGATGCATTAGGATGCCGACTCGTGTCAACATAAAATCGTCGTGCCCTCCGCCTTGCGATGTAAAGCCGTATGGGCAGCGCACGAGCGCTTGTTACACCTGGGGGGTTCATAAAACCATTGGGTTGTTGCGATTGCAATTTTTCTGGCCGGGCATGCTGCGCAATGTAACTGATATTCTACTGGGGTGCACCCATTGCGCGCAACGTAAACCGCCGGCTAAAACCGCATGCCCGCCCCTGCAACCCATTTCGGTGTCTCGTGTAAACGAGTTTGTGGTTCTAGATATTTTGGGCCCTTTTCCTACTACGCCACGGGGTAATAAGTACCTTCTGGTTGGGGTGGAGTATTTTACACGGTGGCCTATGGCCTGGGCCCTCCCCAACCAGTCGGCAGCGCCCGTCATGGACGCCTTTGTTCAGGGCTACGTCCTGGACAAGGGCGCACCAGAACGGTTGCTGACCGATCAGGGAAGACATTTTTCAGGAGTCCTGCTGAATGATGTGTGCCGCCTGTTGGGCACTAAGAAAGTGCGCACTTCGCCCTACCATCCCCAGACCGACGGCATGGTGGAGCACCTGCATAGAACTCTCACCGCTATGTTATGCCATCAGGTCGATGAATCCCACCTCGATTGGGACTTGCAGATTCCAGGGGTCTGTTGTATATGTTGGTATTGAAAATTTTATGAAAATAATAAAAATTAAATGAAATTTGGAAAAATGCGTAATTATCCGAAGTTTTGTAAATAGATGAAATTATGTGCATAAAATATGCTAATTCGAGAGATAATCGTACTAATTTATGCGCGTGCATGCGATTATGCTAATGTACACAATTATGATAATTGGGCCCTGCCTCGCTGACGAGGGTCGTATCATCAATCGGGATAATACAATTAATCGTATGAAGTTATGCAGGTGTGCTGTAAGTGTGCTAGATTAAACTCGGCTTCTTTGTCTAGGTTCGTATTATTAATCGGTCTAATACTCTTATTCTCGCTTTAACATTTACTGATTATGTATTGGTGTTTATGTCAGGTCTCCAAATTCAAGTCTCAATGCAGGATGCAGTCCTTATAAATAAGATTATTATGCATGAACTCAGGAAAGAAACACTCAATCACTTCTGTGTTAAGCAATTTTATTCTAAACGAAACCTTAACACTATACTATGCGAACTCTCATGCTTGGAATTATCAACACAGTACCATCGGGGAATTTTCTCTCAGGTAGTAGGACATTTAACATCAGTGATTGCGTTGTTTCACTAAAAACTCTCTCCCTATCACTTGGTGATAGGGAGAGAGTTTTTTTAAGACAGGCATGCACAATATTCTAACAAAACTTTAACACATTCTAATATGCGAATTGTTATGCTTGAAATTGTCAACACAGTACCCCAGGCGATGTTCCCCTCATTGACCATACATTCAACCCTCAATAATCACGTTGTTAATTGGGTAACAGATGAATTGATTACTTCAGAGTACCACGGGCATACACGGCAAATACGAATAAAAGTCCTTCAAAATTCATCCGACGATATTCGTGCGAAAGGCGATCAAAGCAATTATGATACCCCAAAGGCACAAATATACGTCAATAGCTTCATCGGCAAGGTTATATAATTAACGAGATGTCTTGGAATAAGGTGTGCGGCGGTACGTGCTCTCCCATTAATTAATTCGTGAGCAAGATTGTATGATAAAGAAACCGGTTTAACACTATTTCTCTCTGTGAGCGTATAGAATCGTAGCGAAGGTTTCAAAATGTTTAGTTGTATCGATGAATCTATTGGTAACCTATGCGATTGGAAGTAAAATCACGTAACAATAATGAACGTACTTATAACGACGTATTCTCATCACTCGGTGAGCCGCGATGCCTTCACGGCCAGCTGATGGTTCGTGTATTTGATAATTAGGCTTCTTATTAATGATTCGTGTATGTGTTGAGTGGTATGAATTAGGTTGAGTGGGTAAGTGTTCGGGATCAATTCTTTGCATCAAGCAGACGCCAGGTGATGTG